GCTGTCTGATCTACTTCTATAGTTCTAGTGAGGACGCAGGCTGCAGCGTCTGGATCACCTGTCTGATCTACTTTCTATAGTTCTAGTGAGGACGCAGGCAGCAGCGTCTGGATCAGCTGTCTGATCTACTTTCTATAGTTCTAGCCCAGTTCATAACTAAGTTCAGACTAAGCTATATAAACAACAGGAGGGTAAAACTGTAGCATTTTCTGTCACAATTTCAGGAAACTTCTAAGAAAGCATCTTATCTCAAACTATTGAGATAATAGATGAGTAATATCAGTCTAAAATAATTGAACCTTTTATATTCTTCCTTATACGTTATATAGAGATGTAAATAATGGATCAAATCAGTGTCATATTTTGGGGTTTGTCCTGATGATGAGCGGCTCCATCTGTGTGTGGATGGTTTATAATAAGAAAGCTCATTTTATTTAAAGAAAATCCTTGAATATTCTCTATTAATGAATAGAACAGTTTTCAGCTTCTAAAGCTTAGATTAGACTGTTCTGACTATCTAGTTGACATTCCTCTATATCGGTTCCAAACTGCAGTCTATGTACCAAGATCTTTTTTCTTGCACCGCTGCTGCTGCTGCAGCGAGGAGTCGGTCTGCTTGGACTCAGCAGTGGAAACAGGAGGAAAAAATCAGCCTGTGTGAATAAAAGTTGTGGGAAAGCATTCAGCATCTAGAATTGGACGCTGTGGTTTCTGTTTGCAGTGGAGGCTTCCTGTTAAGGCTGGTTTGGACCTTTGACCTGAAATCACATCAGGATTTTTGAACACAGCTTGAGAAACCCTGGTGTACCTTCTATTTGCTGTTATCTAAGGAGAACCTTTACAGCTACTTTTATAGTTCAGTCATAGAAACGCAGCTCACAGATCAGTTTGTTCTTTCACATCGTTAAAGGCAGAACCAAAGAGGCAGGATGTGGTCAGAGTGAAGCTGCGTCAGGATCCAGGAACCTCCTGAACCTGCTGTGATGTCACCATGATCTGCTGATTCAGGATCAGAGTCTCTCCTGCTGCGTTTGCTCTGGGATCCACTGGGTCCTCAGAGTCCATAGTGGTTCTGGCTCTCTGACTATGGTGGCCCAGCTGGATCAGGGGCATCAGTGACTCCCCCCCATCTGTGTCTTTCATCAATCATGAGTCAGAATAAACAGATAGATGATGGAACAAAGGACTCTGGTCTAAACCAGAGCTTAGGCTTTCCTGACACCCAGTTTCCATTTCAGATACAATGTTTAAGTTTTAACTAACGGAGACTTGATATTTTGGTTATTGGGCGACAGTGGCGTTGGATGTAGGAGTTTGCCCTGAAATCAAAGGGTTGACGGTTCAAGTCCCGGCTCTGACTTTCAGTGTCGTTGTGTCCTTGGGCAAGACCTTTCAGATGATGGGGGTCAGAGGGTGGCGCCAGCGTACGGCAGCCCTGCTTCTGTCAGTGAGCCCCAGGGCAGCTGTGGCTAGGGTTAGGGTTAGCTTGTCACCATCAGTGTGAATGGGTGAATGAATGTAGTGTAAAGCGCTTTGGTCAAGTGTCCTGACTGGAATAAAGGCGCTATATAAGTACAGGACATTTAACCATTTATTGGAGCTAAAATACTGAATTGAGAAATGAGCATTTGATCTGTTGACTGAAAGTGATCATTGCCATTAGTGTGAAAACACTTCTCACAGTCATCAGTGTTGCCATCTTACATCCATGTCATAAACACACTTCGCCCTAACTGGATTGAATCCACTTTGGCCCCGCCCCCTTTGGCTTATAACGGCAAATCTTGCAGAATAGGGTGAATAAGTCTGCAAAGCTGAATGTTTCCAGTAAAACCAACAGAAAGCATTTTATAAAAATCTTTCCCTGTAATAAAGCTGTCAGCTAAAGACTTCATGAGCGTCTATGAGCAGCTCTGCAGGAAACTATGAAGCAGGTCTGGGTTGGCTACAGCTGAGCAGGAAAGGCTTTGCAGAATCATGGGGGAAATTTGGAAACCAGCTTTGGATGATGAAGGATCAGGGCTGAGGATGAGGAGCAGTCAGCAGCGTTTAGGAAAGCCACACGTGCATCAAAGTGAACTAACGTTGCCCGGCAATGAGTCTGGGTTGGACCACAGAATGCATGAGATATTCAGAGTCATTCACAGAAACCAGCTCCTCCTTCCATGAGTTAAAGAACCCAGAAAACACTTCGTCTCCAATAACACCAAAAACCTGCTTCCTGTCCTCCTGGTTCATCATTCCAGCTTTTCATAAATAGAAGGAAAACAAAACTCACCATTAAAGTGAGGATGTCTCATCATCTTTAAGAGTCAGAATAGGAGCAAAGAAATGAGCAACTTTCCTAAATGTTCCCAAATCAGCAATCTGAGCAAATATTCCAACCTATAGAGCAAACTATAGAGTTTACATCCCTCTGATGCAAACAGACCCTAATGCAGACTGATGATAATAACACAGCCTGGGTGACCCAGGAGGGTCTGTAGACTCCTCAGGTCAATGGGAAAATGGATGTAGATGTAGAGCTGTTAGACCCTGTTTACATTTAATTCATTTTGAATTTTGCAGACTGACCATGAAAAGCCCCATAGAGACATTTATCCATTACCACCCTAACTTAGAGAAGGAAGGAAACGTCCTGGTTGGCTTTGACTTGACTCACGTCTCTATTACTCTACAAAAAGTTAAAATCAATCCTCTGGACTTTGTTTCCAAGTTTGAAGATGTTTCACTTTCCATCCAGGAAGCTTTTTCAATTCAAAATGTCAGAACTAGCGTTGAGTTTGAGGCTTTTCTGCCATTTTGAATTGAAAAAGCTTCCTGGATGAGAAGCCAAACATCTTCAAACTTGGAAACAGTCCAGAGGATTGATTTTAACTTTTTTAGAATGATGATGACGGAGATCCTCTCCAGCATGTCTCCATTACGTCTGTCTGCTCTTTAGATCAGCTTAGACCTGTGTTATTAGATATGTCCTGATTAGTTCTGACTTTGTTCAGGTTTCTCTTTCCAGCAGACCTTAAAGTTTCACCTTCTTTAGCCAGAATAACTTTGAGTGCGACCAGCATTCAGTTAGATTCACCATCAGGAAGACTTTTTCTCCTCCCATCGTGAGGAAGTTCTGGTGTCACAGCAGCACAAATGGAAGAAAGAAGACCAACAAATGTCCATCTTTAAACCGTTTTTAGAGGCCGCTCCTTTTCCCCGTCTCTTCACAGTCTCGCCACCCGAGGACCTGTCTGTGATCGAGGTGACTCCAGAAACAGTCGACCTTTCCTGGGACAACAAGATGAAAGTGACAGAGTACCTAATCACCTACGTGCCCACGGCCCACGGAGGTCTGGAGCTGGAGATGCGGGTGCCTGGAGACGAGAAGGAGGCCACCGTTCGAGAGCTTGAGCCCGGTGTGGAGTACCTGATCAATGTCTACGCCGTACTCAGCAACCAGAGGAGCGTCCCTGTCAGCGCACGAGTCGCTACTCGTAAGTGAACGCTGGACACAGCGGCTGCTAAAGTTCATGGCAGAAACGATGTAAAACTGAGTTTATCTTCTGCACAGATCTTCCAGAGCCGGAGGGTCTGAAGTTTAAGTCTGTGAGAGAAACGTCAGTGGAAGTGCAGTGGGATCCACTGGATATCCCATTTGATGGCTGGAACCTGATCTTCAGGAACACAGTGAGTCGCGTCATGGAGGACATCCTGCATCCGGTCTCTTCCAGCTGAAACCAGATGAAAAACCTTCTTTAACTGGAATATTCCATTTGGCAGAAAGAGGAGGACGGTGAGATCCTGAACCCCCTCGGCCGCCCAGAGACCAGCTTTGAGCAGTCCGGTCTGGGTCCAGGTCAGGAGTACGAGGTCAAACTGGAGGTGGTGAAAAACAACAAGCGTGGACCTCCTGCTTCTAAGAACATCGTCACGAGTAAGTTCACCCCCCACCCCCCCACAACCACAGAAAAACACGTGTTATTGGAAGCAGACCTGCTCAGTGTGGTAAATTAGAGGCTCTGATGTCTGATTGGTTCCCGCAGGTTTGCTCCTCATTGTTTAAAGACATTTCTCCACATTCTCTGCTTCCATACCTTAACATGCACTGGCTGTACCCCCCCTCTCACCCACTGGCCGCTGGGATAGGCTCCACTCCCCCCCGCACCCCCATTATAAGTGGTAAAGATAGCAGATGGGATCTTCCAGTGCAGAGCTACACATCCGACTCTTTTTGACATTTTCTCACTTCAGAAACATCAATGTGTTTCATTGCAAATGTATTATTATAACTCAGAGAGTTGCATAAATTAACTTTATTGATTGCAAGGTGGGAAACGACAGCAAAGATCACAAAATAAAAGCAGGAAAATGTTTTTATTTACAGTAAACATTAAAATGTAAACAGCTCTAATCAGAAACGTTAACGTGGGCTGAATCAGAGTTCAGAGGCGTTATCAAGCAGCGTGAGGAAAGATGCTGCGTCCCTTCAGCAGCGGAGTCTGTCAGAGGAAAACGTCTTTTATTGTCTCCTAAAGTGCATCCAAAGCTGAAGACATTTCATTGTTGATCAAACCGTCCAACATGTTGTCCACCTGAGCTGAGCGGCTTTGATCAGAGCAGCAGCTAAAACAGCGGCGCTAACTTTGGAGGGAAGTTAGCTTTTATTCTTTCCTTAAGGAAAAGGTCATGGCATGAAATGAAACAACAGGAAGCGTAAATCCTCCCTGTTGTTATGGATAATGGGTTTTCCTTACAGCCTCCAGGTGAGCTGGAGCAGAAAGAAAACAGCAGCATAGATGAAGGAGGCCGATATGAGGAATTGTTTTTCTAACTGCTGTTATCACGTTTCCTTCATGTCTGTAATGCAGTGAGCTTTGCTGCCTTCACCCAGAGAAATGGAGGTCATAAAAACCACTGACTGATGGCCTCTAGGTAGAAAAACTATACTCTCTACAACTCTGTGGAAATTGAAAGATTTATATCAAATAATTGTAAACTCAGCCTCTTTGGGTTCAGTTTATATATTATATCAGTTATCTGCTGGAGAAAAGCTTCCACTTTATTTTGAATGTTAGGAATCGGTGGTGAAAACAGCAGAGAAAGATTATTTCCCAAACGCAGCCGCTCTAAACCTTTGAAAGATCAATATATTGAGGCAACATGGCGAACATGGTTTCCACCGATATTAGTTTGGTTATTCATCCTCCAGTCAGCCCTGAGTGATTGGCTCATTTCTGCAGAGCTCAGATTTACGCGCTATGAGGCTGATATGGATTCCAGCTCCTGTTGACAGGAAATCACATTCTACTTATTTATTCAATCAATCCCAGACATTAGGAAATACAGAGCTGGGGATCAATACGGGTGACAGGCGAGTAAAGATCAGACTACAGGTTAGTTCAACATTTTCATCCTTCCTCACCAAATATTTCCCCAATAAAGAGAACTTAGCTGCAGCAATAGACCGCCGGCTCTCGACTCTATTGCCGGGAATTCAGTGTATTAGATATTTCTGCTCTACCAACCGAGTGGTGCATTTTTAGGATTCTCTTAGCTTCT